ACAGCATGCAGTTAGGTGGGCGGACATGCTGGACCCCTGCCATACAGCGTATTATATACCTTTCGTTACATTCAGACCTACGTTAAGATGTCATGACCCTCTGATCCAATCAAAGCCAGTTACCTTGATCCATACTCCTCCCTTTACCCAGGACCCCTTTCTCTGGTGCTGATTAAGATTCTCCCTTCTTGTACGTAAACTAATTTCTATCACCTTGAGTGTTAACAGCCATATGTAAACTATCCTTTATCACTCTGATTGTCCACCAGGTGCTGTCCTGATTTACATCCCTAAGAAACAAGGTCAGGACTGCTTATCTTTCTTTGTGAGGGGTCATCTGAACAAGAAAAGACTATTAGGTCAAGACAGTTTATCTGCTTACATGAGTTGCCTTCTTTCCAGTCAGGAAGAGACAAACCATGAAAGCAATTAACACATCCTTGAGATATTGAGAAGTGTTGAGGGTCACATCCTCAAGAATGCAACCTTTTGACAATCTAAAGTGAGGTCAACCATACATACAGGAAAGAGAATACTGGCATATTGGTGGGCCTGCTTTTACTTTATGTTATACAATATATAAAGATAAATGTTTAAACATCTAAATGTCTAAAAATGTCTACATGACAGGAAAGAGAATACTGGCATATTGGTGGGCCTGCTTTTACTTTATGTTATACAATATATAAAGATAAATGTTTAAACATCTAAATGTCTAAAAATGTCTACATGTCCCAACCTTCTAACATGTCCTTCTAGATAAAAACATGAATAAATATGAATTGAAGAACCTTGTTGTGTGATCTCCAGTTCCAGTATTACCATGTTCAGAGCATGTCTTTTGAGTTTCTGAAGGTGGTGCCATTAAAAACCAATATCAAGTTGTTGTTTCATAAAAAGAAAAGACCAGAAAAAGACTAAGTTGCTTATGTGAGAGATTTACTTAGGTTCCTCTATGTGAAGAGATGAGAATCCAAGCTTAGGGACAAGGCTTTGATGGGTCATCAAGCTGATAGAATTCATATTCACATGTTTCTGGATTTACCACTCCTTTGCATCCTTCTTTTCCTGCAATACCACCATATCTTTAAAAGAAAAAAAAAAAAAGGGAGGAGGAGGAGGAGGAAGAGGAAAAAGAGGTTCTGGTCAGTCAAAGTTCACCTTAATTGGACTTAAGATCTCCTAAAGACCCCTAATATTATCTGCCACTCTGGAACTTATAGAGGCAAATATGTGTAGCTCAGAAGTGAATTGTGGAGTCCTTGGGGTTCTCTGAGCTTGGTTCTTTTCTTGCAAACGTTTCATTACCCAGCTAGGTAACATCTTCAGAGCTAAAATGGGATGGGGTTTGCTCTCTGTTTATATACTGTGGCATACTTTGCCAGTGCTGGTGCTGGCGGGGGTGGGGGTTTTGTTTTGCTCCTCTGGTAGTTCCTTGATTAGCATCTGTTTACTGCTTGATTGTGTGCTTGGTAGTAACCTCTGCTTATCTGGGTGATGATTGCTGGTGAGGAGATGTTCTGATCTTTTGTCTCTTGAATAGTATGTAGATGCTGTTCATCTCTATGTGTCTGTTAATTGCTGCCTTGTCTGAAT